TCAAGTGTGGCAACAATAGTGAGGTTGGCCCAGGATCAGGCAGTGTTTTGTTCTGCTGTGCCTAAAGTCACTAAGGGTCAGTACCGACTCAGTGGCACCTAACAACAGCAACAACAACAAAATATCTATAAACAGATGTTTGCAATTTTAACATTTTAATGTACATAATTTAGTTGCATTAATTGCATTCAAAGATCTCTTGTGGTGCAGTAGTTAAAGTTCTCAGCTTGTAATTGGTTTGAACCCACCAGCAGCGCTGCTGAGTTAAGATCAAACTGCCAACTCCCATAAAGAGTTGCAGTCTGGGAAACCCTATAGAGCAGTTCTACTCCGCCCTGCAGGATGCTATGAGACAGAATTGAGTTGTTGGCAATGAGTCATTTTGTTCATTTTGTTGTGGAGAAGGCTTTTGTTATAATTGAATTCCTTTTGTATGTTTTTTCCTAAAACTTTAGTAATAGTTGTTACTTAAGTAGATTCTAACCTTTCTAACTTCTTTGACATGATTGATGGATATGGGCCCAGTTACAATCCTCTGTGTTTCCTGTTAATTAATAACAAGGAAGTCTTATAAAGTACATGATAAAGACATTGATTTGGAAGTACATACTTTGAAGTACATTTTGAAAGTGGAGTAATTATACTCCCATTCCCTCATTTTTGCATTTCCTCATTTTTGAAAAACCAGCATTTCTTTACTTTTAATGACTCACCCAGAATTACCTACCCCTACGTGTAGTGCTGTGGGCTAATGAGTCAGACTGCAAAGTCGTTTGAACTGCAAGGTCAGTGGTTGAAGCACCAGCTGCTCCTTAGAAACCTGATACAGGGTCGCTATGGGTCGGAATCAACTCGATGGCACTTAATAACAACAACAACCTCCTTTTAAGGAGTCCTGGTGTGGCACTGTGGGTTAATGCATCAGACTGCAAAGTCATTTGAACTGCAAGGTAGGTGGTTCAAGCTCACCAGCTACTCCTTAGAAACCCTAGACAGGGTCGCTATGGGTCAGAATCGACTCGATGGCACTTAACAACAACCTCCTTTTAAAATTTAAGTATAAAACCTTAGGCAGGTGTTCTAGGACAACTCACCAGGCCCCCAACGTGTCACAGCAGTCATTCCCTTAGCTCTCCTCAGCAAATTTGGCAAGCGACTGAAGTCCCTGAATATTCAGTGGAAACTGAGCAAAGCTTTTGAGATACACCTCTATCCTGTACCTTAAGGTTACTGACTACTAGACTTTCAGACACTAAAGAACCCAACTGAGCAAAGCTTTTGAGATACACCTCTATCCTGTACCTTAAGGTTACTGAATACTAGACTTTCAGACACTAAAGAACCCAACTGAGCAAAGCTTTTGAGATACACCTCTATCCTGTACCTTAAGGTTACTGACTACTAGACTTTCAGACACTAAAGAACCCAACCCAAACCAAACCAAATCCATTGTCATTGAGTCAGGTCTGATTCATGTGTGGAAAGTAGAATTGTTCCACAGGGTTTTCAACGCTGTCACCTTTCAGAAGCAGAGTGCCAGAGCTTTCTTCTGAGGTGCCACTTGGTGAGTTTTGAACCCTCAACTTTTCAGTTAGTAGTTAAACACTTAACCGTTTGCACCAGGGATATCTCAGGCCCTAAAGTGGGGAGGAAAATCTTTATTGGATCTCTTGGCTCTTGTTGCTTCCTCTGGTAGTGCTGAATTAAAAGATGGGCTCTAGTAAGTGCCCACTGGAAATCTACCAAGATTAATTTATTTACGTTAAAAAATATCATTCCAGTGGGATGGAGTATATAGCTAGGGGCTATACAAAGGCAATTGAGATTGAAGTTCTCTCTGAACAAGAAACAGAAAATGTTTTACATGTTTTCTAACCATACATAACAGGTTTTACCCTAGCTGGAGTGTTGGCATGAGAATGGAATCTTGGCAAAGTGTAATATGTTTCTCCCCCAGAGTAACTGACACATTCTAACTTTTGTGGGGGGAAAAAGGATCATGATATTGTGCCACTTAGCATTCTGTGTAAATGCTTATTTTTCTAAACAGTCCCTGAATACTGGTCGTTCATTATAATGTTGTTATAATGTGAAATGGGATATTATCTTTCATATTTCCTTTCTTGTCCCTCGCTTCTGAGAGCTAGAGGGAAGTTCCACAATGATGAATCCCCTAGAGTAGCGAAACACTCTTCACAAATACAACAAAATATAGTTTCCTTTACTTTCAATGCCTGATGTTTTTTCATTACCCTTATTTCCTCATTAATTCCCACGACTTTTCATAGCAAACAAAATTCAGGTGGTGCCTCAGAGGTTGTAGGATTAGTGGAAGATCCAACAAGTAGTAAACTGTAGAATAGGACTAAATGCCAGGGCTGTCTCCAGGGCTGTATCCTTTCTCTTTCCTCTGCAGCTTGCTCAATAGAGGCTGGAAGGCTGAAAGTGACACACAGCTGAGCTTCCAGTAAAGGTGCTGCCTCCTCTTCACTCAGCAGCCCTCCTTTCCCTTCCAGATCAGTGGGGATGAAGGCACAGTTTACCTTGGAATCTTTTGAATTTCTTTTCTGAGGAAGCTCCTATGAGGCTTTTGTTAAGTGGAGTTTTTTTTCAATGTTTTACCAAAGATGAAGTGAATTGCATCTCCTGTAATAGGCTGAAATGGTGCCAACTTACCTGTAAGAGCTTGTTCTTTTCATCTGTTCTTTCTTTTCCTCTATTTAAAACCCTCCCTGTGCACCTAGGAGAGAAAGCTTTCCTTTGGCTTCTTTCTTCCTGGACTAGCTTGCCCAACCTGTACCTTGTAAATCACTCTGGTCTCTCCTTCTTACAGAGAGGATTCCAGAGTGTGTTTCTGATGGAGGTTTACGTTCAGTTGGCCACTGCTAGGCAAGCCCATCCATGTCTACATTCCTCTTGGAGTATTTGCTCAACATCACAACTTCTGCTCCAGTGAAACTGCTGTTCTGGGATGATCTCTCAAGGCACTTATCAAAGAAGAAAACAATTTGAGCATTTGCCACTTCCTCTTGTGGCTTTTGAGCCTTTTACACATGGGTTTGAGTTACCAAACAAAACCGCTCAAGCCTGTGGACCTCAAGTGGTTCTATTAATTTCCTCCAGTCACTTTTTAAACAACTTTATTGAGGTATAATTTGCATACCATAAAATGCACACATTGTAAATGCACAATTCAATGATTTCAGTTGTCAGTATAATCCAGTTTTAGACATTTCCATCACCCTGGAAATCTACTTTGTGCCCAATTATAGTTAATCCATGTCCCACCCCCATTCCCAGATAACTATTAATCTACTTTGTTTCTTTACAGATATACCTGCTATATACATTTCATATAATGGGAATCACTCAGTATGATTCCAGTTGTATTTATGTTTGGCTTCTTGCATGTCACACAATGCTTTGGAGATTCATCTGTGTTGTAGCATGTGCTAGCAATTTGGTCCTTTTTATTGCTGAAGAGCATTCTATTTTATGGACATACCACTTTTTATTTATCCATTCACCAGTTGATGAACATTTGGGCTGTTTTCATTTTTGAACTATCATGAATAATGCTGCTATGAGCATTCACATAGAAATCTTTATGTGATTATATACATTTTCATTTCTCTTGAGTGGTGAGAAGGGCAATTAATGGGTCACAAGATAGTTTTTTTTAACTTATTAAGAGACAGTAAAATTGTTTCCCCAAGAGTCTGCACCATTTTACATTACTCCCAGTGACATATGCAGGATTACTGTTTCTCTACACTGTCGCCAATTAAAGGTTAGCATAGAACACACATTTTGGAAGTTCCACTCTGCTTGCTTTTTCTCCAGGCATTGAACATTCACTGGATGGCAGATTTATCCATCCATCCAGTCAGATTCATTGAGCATCTATTGCATCTATGGCATTTTTTGTTTGTTAATGTTTTATTGTGAATTATATGATAGTTTACATGAGAGAACTTTAGTTTTACATTCATTCCATCATATATCATTTCATTGCCATGGTTCCAATCCCCTCCCTGCATCATCTTCTGACCAAAGGGCATATCCTAGAAACCCGTCCTCTACACTTCCCCCCTCCCAACCCCCCCACCCCCGTCTTCGGCCCACAGTCCCTCTTCCTCTCTGCTCCATAAATGCAACTCTAAAATGGCTATAAAAATATAGTTTCATGCTATTCTTAATCTTATTCCCCTAAGCAGTTGTTAGTTGCCATCAAGTTGGGTCTAATTTATGGTGATATTAAGTATGCCGTTGTTAGGTGCTGTTGAGTTGGTTCCACCTCATAGTGACCCTGTGCACATCAGAATGAAACACTGCCTGGTCCTGCACCGTCCTCACAATTTTTGTTACACTTGAGTCCATTGCTGCTGTTACCATGCCGATCCAGCTTGTTGAAGGTCTTCTTCTTTTTTTCTGACCCTCCACTTTACCAAGCATGATATCCTTCCCCAGGGTCAGGTCCCTTCTGATAATATGTCCATAGTATGTATTAGAGACAAAGTCTTGCCATCCTTGCTTCTAAGGAGCAATCTGGCTGTACCTTAAGTATAAACCTGCTCATTCGTGTGCATCTTCATGATCATTGGTATGTTTGCATCCATTATTGTAACTCTTGTGTTAATCCATCTCATTGAGGGTTTTCTCGGACTCTCCACCAAACATGGTATCCTTGCCATGCTTGAGATTGGTGTCTCCTATAGAGAACACGATCCCATTTTCCAAAAAAATATATAGTAAACTTAGCAATATACTGTGTAGCTAGGAAGGGTGACATTCATGTTAAAATGTAAATGGGCATTCTGAGTATATAGAAGTAAGTGTTACTTTCAAAATGCAGCTATTGTTAAGCCATGGAAAACAGAACTCAGATGATCTGATTTCCATTAGGCCAGGTAGGAACTGATTGTTGTTGCTGTGTTACAGGATCCTAGTGAGAAAAAAAAGGAAGAAAGATTGACTTCATAGGAGAAGAAAACAAGATAGTGAAAAACTAGGGGAAAAAGTGTACAGTCTGCAGTTGTTTGACCTTTGGACTAAAACAGACCTAAATTTATATCAGGATTCCATTACTAGCTGTATGACTTTGGGCAAGTGACTAAGCATCTTTGAAACTCCATTTCTTCCTCAGTAAACTGAGTGATTTTATCAAACTCTGGGTACAGTGAGTATTAGAACCCGTGTATAGAATGCTCAGCACAGTACCTAACACATAGAAAGCATGGAGTAACGCATTCCTATAGTGCTCTGATCGTAGGAAGATCATAGAAGAATTGATGCCTTTGAGTTGTGGTGTTGGAGGAGAATACTGAAAGTGCCATGGACTGCCAAAAGAACCAATAGATCTGTTTTGGAAGAAGTGCAGCCAGAGTGCTCCTTGGAAGCCAGGATGGCTAAGCTTCGTCTCTCATACTTTGGACATATTGTCCGGAGGAAATAATCGTTGGAGAAGGATGTCATGCTGGGTAAGGTGGAGGGTCAGAGAAAAAGAGGAAGACCTCTAACGAGATGGATTGGCCAGGTGGCATCATTGATGGCATCAAGTGTGGCAGTGGTAGTGAGGTTGGCCCAGGATCGGACATTGTTTCATTCTGCTGTGCATGGGGTCGCTATGAGTCGGTTCCGACTCGATGGCACCTGACAACAACAACAACATAGCACTCTGAAAACGTGGTGGTTACTAATCGGGCTGCGAACCTCAAGGTCAGCAGTTTGAAACTACCAGCTGTTCCGCAGGAGAACGCTGAGGCTTTCTGCTCCCGTAAAGATTTACAGCCTCGGGAACCCTGTACAGGGTTGCTATGAGTCGGAATCGACTCCATGGCACATAGCAACAACAACAACATTGTTACCTAAGGAGTCCTGGTGTGGTGCTGTGGGTTAATACATTGGACTGCAAAGTGGGTTTGAACCACAAGGTCAGCAGCTCAGACTTACCAGCCGCTCCTCAGAAACCCTATATAGGGTTGCTATGAGTTTGAACTAACTTGACGGCACTTAACAACAACATCAAATTCTTACATAAAGGGTTGGGAAGGAGAGCAGTGAGAACAGTTGTGGGTCAGGGTGGATGCTTGAGAGTGTTGACCGGTAGTTTTCAAAGTTTAGTCTTCCTTAGACTGTTAGGAAGGAGCCCTGGTTGCACAATGGTTAAGTGCTTGGCTTGACTGAAAGTTTGGTGGTTTGAAGCAACCCAGTAGCTCCATGGGAGAAAAGCCCTGGTGATTTGCTCCCATAAAGATTACAGCTTAGAAAGCTCTGGGGTGGCAGGTCTCCTCTGCATGGGGGGGTTGCTATGATTCGGAATCAATGAGATGGTACCTAGCAACAACAGCCTGTCAAGGGGGTGTGGGATACTCCCCCAGAATTTAGGTATGTCAGGTGGGGTCTGAGAACTTGCGTTTTTAACAAGTTCTCAGGTAATGCCGCCTGCCTTGGGTCCAGGGGCCACACTTTGAAAGCCACAGTGTAGAAGGTTGGAAATGCTGGGGAACCAGGCTCATGTCTCAGGGATGCCTTCTTGTTACCTTCAGAATTCCAGATTCTGTATTTAAAAAGATGAAGAATACACGGTTGTTGTTCTCAATATATCAGTCTAATGCAGCAATTTGTGGGAAGGTGACTAGGAAGGGGATACATGAAGCTAATATTAGTCTCTGCACAGGAACCTTTTGAAATCTTTCCTGTCTGCAGCAGGAGATGCTAATATTACATTTCAGCTGGGTTCTCCATGCTCCCCATGACTTAGTCTACTTTGTTTATTATTGTCTCCTTAGTAAACTTGAGAGTAGCTGGTACCACGTAAGTGCTCAATACATATTTGTTGAATGAATGAAAGTTGAGAATTACCACTGTAGTGAACCATTGCTACTGATTGGAAGAGATCATATTTCTCTGGCTGGGGATCCAGAAAGATTGAGACTGCCAATTTAGTAGATTCCTTAGAGCATTCGTGAATGGCTTATGCATCAGTCCCCAAATGGAGTTCCAATGGTATCCTATAGCTGTGACCATAACTCAAAGATGTAGACTTGGGTCTTAAATGGAAAAAGAAAAGACAAAAGGAGTTCAAGCACTGACAGTGTCTAAGGGGGTAATTGTTCACTTCTTTCATTCCAGAGCCACTCTCTGCAGATGCCATGATCTTTGGTTTTCTCATTTTACCATATAGCCTAGTGCAGCACTGTAGGATAAGCACTGGACTTCTAACTGTTGAGTTTGGCGATTCAAACCCACTAGCCGCTCCTTGGAAACCCTATACAGGGTGACTGTGAGTCAGAACTGACTCGACGGCACTTAACAACAACAACAACAACATACAGCATGGAACTGTGTTACAACTACATATTATTCATAACCTTGATTGTCTCTATGCTTCTGAAGCTTAACTGTGGCACATAAGGTATACCTCCTGGAGGCAGGTCAGAGAAAGGATTGCTAGAGCTACCACACAATAGGACAGACACAGCAGGCAAGTTTCACTATTTTGCCTTTGGGTGGAGGTTGTTGTTGTTGTTATGTGCCCTGGAGTTGGTTCCGACTCATAGCGACCCTGTACAAGATTTCTGAGGCTGTAAATCTTTATGGGAGCAGAAAGCCTCCTCTTTCTCCCATGGAACAGCTGGTAGTTTCGAACTGCTGACCTTGAGGTTAACAGCCCGATTTGTAACCACTATGCTTGGGTGGAGGTAGGCAATGGGAAATTTGTCATTCATGCTTTCATTCTCACAGCATTCCATAGCCTGACATCATAGTCCTTGTACATTGCAGGTTCTGAATGAATATGTTATACCTGAGACCTTTACTTTATTTGCAGATGTTATGACTAATGAATTTGACATAGTTGGTGTGAGTGCCTGACATTTCTTGAATTGCCTGGCCTCCCTTTAGCACCGTCAGGGACATAGATGAGGCTGGGAGCTGCAGGAGTCCGGGGCTCACCTACTTACTTACCCTTGCCCCCTTCCCCAGAGGCCGACAGGTTGGACTTCTTGGTATGAAGATATTAAGGGAGGAAGAAGGAAGGTAGACTTGTGAAGGGGGATTTTGGGGGTTGTTTCCCTCTTCTGGGGATGGCTGTATTCCCTCATTTGATTGTAACAGCAGGTGGTAGCTCACACAAGGGAAGAACTAGGTATGGTCTTTGGATTGTGGAGTAGGGGAAACTGTGGAAGGTAATAATTCTCATCCTGTCCCTTCATATACTGTCTCTGCCAAGTCCTATCCTGTCTGATTTTTGCTTTTTCTCTGTCAGTCCATGTTTTTAGATAGCTTTCCATTTTAGTCCACTCACCCCACTCATATACCCAATCTGTCTGCTTGGTTTTACATGTGGTGGTGATCACTACATGCATTTGAATGTTATAAACTCTGGAGATATATGTTGGCTATGCAAGTTTAAATTGCTATGAGAAACTACTTTAGATGTAGTCCAAATTAGGATTTCTAAGAAATGATTATCAGTAAATAAATTGTTGTTAAGTGCCATCGAGTTGGTTCCGACTCATAGCGACCCTGTGTAGGGTTTCTGAGGAGCAGCTGGTAAACTTGAACTGCGGACCTGTGGTTCAAACTGACCTTGTGGTCCAGCGCATTATCCTGCAACATCACACCAGCACTCCAAATAAATAAGTACTGTACCATAGATTTTTATAACATGCTTACATGAATTCAAAATAGTAAAAGATGGAAATTACATATTGTATAAAGAAAGGAGCAGTAGCATTCTCAGATATGGATTCCTGGAGGCAGAACTGGAACAGACTGGAGGTTTAGTGAACCTTTATTGTTGCTGTTATCAAGTTGGTTCTAAGTCATAGTGGCCCTATATAGGGTATCTTGGGGCAGCTGGTAGGTTTGAACCACTGACTTTCTGGTTAGTAGTCCAGTGCTTATCCTACAGTACCACAACAGAAACCTTTACTTGCTGTTTTGTAAGTAACAGTCTGAAATGGGCTAGTCAAGCAAGTTGGACTCAGAATTGGGAGCTTCAAGTGAGTCTCTGAGCCTGTACCGGGGATAATTCCTCATCTTCTCTGAGCCTTCGATTATTTCATTAGGGAGGGAGAAATATAGTCTCTCCTCAGCACTTTTATAGTATAATTCATTCATTCACACAGCTCCTCTCTTTGTCTGGACGTTTCACTGAAACTTGTTCACCAGGGGATTTTCAGATGATAGGTGTGACAGAGTGGTGGCAAACTTTTAATTACTACTTGACATAGACAAAGATGTTATCTTCCCTTTTCTTTTCCGTTTAGCTCAGTGGTTGGTAGCTGCAGTCACCAATGGGATGGGAGCATGGTTGACCTGGAAGGCAGATCAAAGAGAAAACCGATCAGGTGCATGAACTCACTGGTCTTGATATATGTTTTTGTGTTGGGTACATGCTGTTCAAATTCTGGCATGAGAACTCTTTGCCCTTACAGAAGTGCAACTTCCCCTCCTCAACTACTCTGTGTGCACTTTGCCACCGTTTAAGCCCACAGTAGACTGCTTGATCTCTGAATATAGCCTTGTTGGTTCATTAACTGCCTGATGGATCTTTTCTTCAGAAGCATGTCTCTCAACGGACACTTGACACCATAGAATATCTTGTGCTCCCTGGTAAGATCAGCAGTACCAGGCTCCTGATCCGTGCTATTAGAGAAACCTCTGCTTTCTGCCTTTTTTTTTTTTTTTTTTTTTTTTCTAGTTT